AGAGACATAAAAGCAACTTTGATTTGACTATACCAGTAACTAAAGTATCTGTTACACGATACATATAGTTAGTTATTATATTATTGAAAATATATATAACCTTATAGATTATTTTCACATCACATATTTATTATGAATTATTGATGTCACCGTCAGTATTTGCCAACACTCGACAAGTAAACTGATTAAAGGAATCATGTGTCTCTTACTAATAGCGGTCAGCTATTAACGGTCAATTTCTAAAAAAACAGTCAAGCAATTTTAAAGTAAAAGGTAACGGATAAGAAACATCTTTAGCCCTTCTTTTTAAAGATAAATATATAATTAAATAGATATTTTAAATACTTAATATTTTAAACGCAAAAGTACAAATGCAGCGCTATTTTTTTCAATTTCTAATTTTTTAAATCTGAAAGAATAAATTTTGAAAAGAAATTATACTTTCTTTTAAATAAAATAGAAATCCACTTGCTTTTAAATAATATAAATTTAAATGAAAATGAACAGACTAACACAAACACTAGTAGAAGCATTTTTATTTTTGCGCACTTGTAATTTGAAAGAAACTTAATACAGCTTTCAATTAATATTCTCCTTCCATTAATATTGACGCGCGGATATCTGCATTTATAAACTGTATTATTTATTCTTAATTAGTATTTAGGCGCACATTTATTATTATTATGTGAGTCATAGTTGGCATAAATTCTAAACATATTGTATCATTTAGAAATAATTTTGAACAAAAGGATCATTGAACATCAAACAAAAAGTTAATAACAATTTGAAATAATTGTATTTAATCTATATTATTATTATAAAGTTAGAAAAACGAAAGAAACATTAAATATTGTTTATATCATGTTCTTCTATATAATTTTTCGAAATACATATGTACTTATGCATTCAATTCATAATCTTTAATCAAACCAGTTAATTTATAATACTTTATACGTGAAATTTATTTGTTTTTACAAAAAACAAATACTAATTTTCAAAGGAAATATGTATATCAAATATTATTTTTTAGTTTTTAATACACAATACAATATATAGTTACAGGTTACATGACATAAAAATATGTGTAGTAAAAAGAAATAATATTGTAATAACTTTAAAAGAATTAATTTGAATATTTATTGTTTAATAGAATATTACAATATAATGCAACAAATTATTACTAAAATATAATATATTATTATAAAATGTTACGATAATCTTTTAATTATAAAAATTTAAAATATTTTATTACATTTGTATTAAAAATAAAAATGCTTTATTGATTGATATCATTTATCAAAAATGTATCTAATAAATTAATATAGCAAAATTTATTTAAACTAGAAATGTACAAATTATTTAAAAACTAATTTATGCTCGATTAAATAAATTAAAATAATTAGTTAAAAGGCAACGTGTGTAATCCGAAAATCTTGATATGACGGCAAGAAGTTATACAATAGAATATTTTCTTAAACCTATCCATGGTGTCATTCCAGGAATGAATCTCCTCTTGTGCTCTAAGCCCTTTAATTGATTACTTTAATTTATTTAAAAACTATTCTAAGAATTATTAATTAAAATCAAATATAGATTAAGAAAATATAATTTAATAATGTATAAGTAACTGAAAGGATGTCGTAAAATTACAGCTACATCATAAGTCATGACTCTTGAAAAAATACGATAAAATTCCATTATATTATGTTAGTAAGATTAATACAGTTTGTATAAATATATTAAACAAATTATTAAAGTCTCTTCATACAGATCTTTTTCAACAAAATTACGGGAATTGATTTTGTATCTTTTATTGTTTTCTATTGTTTCCATATATAACTTTAATAGCAGAGACTCCATTCAGCTCTTGCTTTTCTTATTCCTAATAAAAAATGTTATTACAGGAAATGAGAATAATCGGAGTTATCGGAAATGAGAACAATGGAATTATTAAAAATATTGTTAAGCATTAACTTAATATTTATCTCAGTAACGTTTGCTACTACTAACAGTAATGAGTGGGACAAACCTTCTAATCATCAATTCAAAACAATAAAACCAATAGCCTATAATGTCACCTTAATAATATTTAGAAATAAAAATGACTATAAAAATGAATATATGTACAAATCGATGTTTTATAGTAATTTTTATAAATTTTTTGGAAAAGAATTGTATAAACGACTAAAAAAAGGCTATTCTATTTTCTATGGTGAATCTACTATACTTTTTGAAGATATTTATAGAAAACGTGTATTACGTCTACATGCAAAAAATATGGTAATAAATATACCGGCGATAAAAATTTATTATTTTGCCAATGATACGGACCATATGATTGTTCCTAAAACGCACAAAATACACAAAAAAAGCCAAACTGTCGACATTGTTTTTGATTATCCTTTCTTACGAGAAGTCAATACTTATCGAGTAACTATGAAATTTCTCGGGAGTATAACTAATAATAAAGGAGGGATTGTCAAGACATCTTACATAAACGATAAAAACAAAAAATCGTGAGTAGCATAAATCTAATAAATTTAAGTATATTTTCTATATAAAAATTATTTAAGAAAAGTTAATAGTTCTACTTTTAAATTTGCATAAAAAATATTTTATATTTACAGTTAATTTTTACATAATAAATATATATCATTAACATTTTGTAACATAAATACTAACAAATATAAAACAATTGAGAATAACGGCATTAAAAATTTATTTACATTATACTCTAAAAATCAAAGTATGAAGTAAATACACTTTTTACTGGAAAACTTATACCGCGTTAATTACTGCCGTTATCATCAGTCTTATATATTTGTTGACACAGTTATATAGTATCTCTTAATAAATGTAACAAACATACATAATATAAAAATATAATATAAAAACAATTCATACTTTGATTTTTAGAGTATAATGTAAATAAATTTTTAATAAAAATCTTATTGCGCATTTAATTACAATGTTGTTATTTTATCTCGCGCCAAGTATTTACTTTCTTAATACTCATATGCCGACAATGATTAAAAATTTAAAAATTTATATTGTTCAAATATGTTACAGATGGTTATTTATAGCTGATTTCCAAGGGCCTGGAGCTCGACAGATATTTCCGTGCTGGGATGAGCCGGATACCAGGACCAATTTTACTATTTCCATAAAGCATGATCGATATTATAGGGCTTTATCGAATGCAAAAGTTACTAACATGTTCAGCGATAAGCATGAAAAGTATTGGACACATTTCGAACCAACCGTTGAAATACCTCCTCATCATATAATGATTCTATTGCACGATTTTAAACAAGTTGATGACTCAAACGTGTGGTGTAGAGAACAAGTGAAACAAGACATGGAATTTTTACAGTCAACTGTTAAATTTGCCATAGATTATTTAAAATTTCATTTTGACGACATAATACATCCACTAACACTGACCCATGTTGTAATTCCGGGTTTCTTGGACTCAGGCATGCAAAGTTGGGGAATTATCCTTTATAGGTAATCCTTTCATATAAAGAAAACAAATTTGAATCTCTCCATTTGAAGAAATGCACTTAATGTTATTGACATTAAGTGCATTTAACATTCAACTAAATTAGTCCTAATATTAAGTATTAAATAATGGAAAAACATAACTTAATACAACGTCTTAAAACGAATGTATAGAATAATATATATTTACAGCTCATATTACTTATATTATATATTGAAAAGATTATTTATATATCAAACAAAAATAAATTTCAATACATATAATAATAACATTTGTCACTAATTTGTTTTATTATTTTTTAGAGAGACAAATGTCCTCTACGATGAAAAATTAGATTTCATTGCTTGGAAAGTTGAAAGGGCATTCATGATAGCACGTAAAATCGCACATCAATACATTAGCAATCTCATAGCCCAACCTTCATGGTTTTATCTTTGGTTAAATGAAGGTATTGCTACATTTTTAGCAATGAAAACAGTGAATCAGGTTATCCTCTAAATAAACTTTCTACATCATTAAATAAAAAAACTAATTAATAATATAATTTAAAACAAAATAAATAAAAATATATTGAAATAAAATGCATTCTTAAATTGAGGCAATTTGTGGCTGCCGTATAAAAATTTGCGACAAATAATTTGAATA